CCGTTACCTCTGGGCATCTCATCATGCCAAAGGCGCCAGAGGGACCACACCAGCTGGCAAGGGGACACCCCACCCCGGCAGAGCTGGGGAGCAGCCACGTGCCGTCATGGCCACCCTTGGTCTGTGGCAGAGGTTCAGCTCAGGGGATGGAGACAGCAGCAGGACAGGAGGTTTTTCCAGTCTTTTGTGGCCTGGCCCAAGGCACAAGGGATATCTGGAAACCCCCTGGGCGGCTCTGCCACCTCTGCGGCACCAGACCCCTCACAGGCAATGCCATCCTCTGCAGGGCTGCTGCCTGCACTGGGCGACACTGGGTGCTGCTGCTGGGTAAGCTGGCAGAGCGCTGGGAGAGCAGAAAGGCCATGCCCCTGCCAGGGGAGCACTCAGGCCAATTGCTCACATGGCAGCATCTCTGTACCGTGCTGACTTATCATCTCCCCATTCCCAGGGGTCTCGCTCCCTCCCCCAGCACTTCTGTGGGCAGTTATTCCTGGAAACATCCTGGAGTCACCTTCAATCATGCCTTCGCCCGCTGACATTTATAGAGCTTCTTCCAGCGGCTGATGGATTTAATAGTGTCAATCTCTCCCCAGCCCCAGCCTGTGTTTATGCCTTTCCCTCCACGGGGTCTCTTATTGCCCCAGCGCGTGGTGAGAGCTAAAGGCGAAGCTGCAGCTCTGCTGCCAACAGCTTTTGGCTTCTGGGCAGGGAGACCCGTCCTGGCAGAGCGCAGTTGTACCCGTCTTCCGTCTAATGCCCTGCCCGCCAAGCTAATCCTCCCCTGGTCTCTCCCAGCCATTTCTGCTTCTCGGATTTCTCCCTCTTGGGTGGAGGAGCCGCAGGGCTGCCAAATCTTGCAATACTCAGGCTGTTTCTTAAAGCCCCAGCTCCTGAAAGGATGGGAAAACTGGAGGCCCCCGCCTTCTGGTGGCTTTTGTTTCTTTAAGGAGCTTCTTGTCCTCCTGCTTGTGCAGAAAAAGCTGGGACCAGGAGCCTGCAGCCCATGCCAGGAAGCACAGGATGGGCACACAACCCAGGTGGACCCAGGCTGCGGAGCAGTGGCTGTGGCTGCCCTGTGCCCAGGGACGCCCACACCTGCTGGGCAGCCATTGACAATCCCACTGGGGGTCACTCAGCATCCGTGACCCACCCTCAGGAACCAGGGACAAGAGAGATGCTTAAGGGAAAGGTGGAGCCGGGGCTGGAATGGGGCTTGGGCAGGGTGTTGAGCACCCAGCCCTGCAGTGTGGGGGTCCCTGCCCTCCAGCCCCTCAGCAGTGCCTCTGATGGACTCCGAGGACCGCGCGTCCCCCCTGCTCAGCCAGCAGCCTTTCCTGCTGCAGGAAAACCCCTCTTTCCCCTCACCACAGCCCACCCCAGTAGCCCACTATGCAGGCCAGGCCAGGCTGGCGGATCCTCCGGAGCAGCCCCGAGACGACCCAGACGCTTGCCGGCAGCACATACCACAGCTGTGAATGCATTTCCTCCAGGGAGTTATTTTGGGCATGGCACCATGGGACGGATGCCACTCCTGCAGGCGCTATGGGAGCATCCTGCGAGAGCCAGGCGTCACCCATGGGCACCCGGCTCAAGGAACCCAGCGCTCTGCTCTGGGAAGGTCAGCAAACCCCGAGACGACCCAGACGCTTGCCGGCAGCACATACCACAGCTGTGAATGCATTTCCTCCAGGGAGTTATTTTGGGCATGGCACCATGGGACGGATGCCACTCCTGCAGGCGCTATGGGAGCATCCTGCGAGAGCCAGGCGTCACCCATGGGCACCCGGCTCAAGGAACCCAGCGCTCTGCTCTGGGAAGGTCAGCAAAACTAGGTGATACTTTGGTGCTCAGCATACGACCCGTCGAGGCTGGCTCGCAGGTCCAGAGCTGGGTGGGACCCTAAAAGAAGTCAGTATCAAGACAGCTAACAAAAAGGTAAAAAAATAAGCTATTCTATTAATTATCATTAGATTAGACAAAATATTAGCATTTTGAGCAAGTGTGTTGATAAGAGTTTCGAGATGCCCAGCAAGACATAAACTGGTTTAATTACTCAAAATGAGGAGGCAAAAGCCCTGCTGAGCCCCAAATCTCCTGTGCGAAGTGCACAAAGCCCTCCAGCCTCACCCAGTGCTGAAGTTCCTGTGCTTTTCCCAGCACACACAACCCAGAGCCCTCCTGCCATCGCCTCCATTTGGAGTGGTCTGGAGGAATCCTGAGGACGCCAGGTCAGACTGGGGGTGCGGGACTGCCTGGCCGAGGAGCATAAACCTCAGCTTCTCCCTTAGGGTCACAGCCCATGCCAGCAGCAGGCGATGGGCTGGGCCACGAGCCAAAGGGGATGGCGACCACCCTCCTCCCTGCACGTCGCCAGGGTGGCTGGGCCAGGCAGGCCCCCTCCTCCCACCACCACCCCAGGCCCCATTTCCCTTCCTCTCTGGCACCCATCAAAAATGCTCAGCACCGGGCACAGTCAGAAAGGCGTGGTGCCGGGAGCTGGGCCATGTGGGAGTAAGAAGGGGACATGAGGATAGAGCAGAACTGTTTTTATTGGAGGTGTCAAGAGCAGGAACAATAACAAACCTACTGGCTCCCCCCC